TGTTTACACCATAATCAACCGAGCATATCCAGTCTCAAAACAACTAGCACCAAGGCAGACACGCCTTCTCTCTTGCCGAAGGAAGACACTCTTCCGAGGTGCCAAGCACCTGCCGAAACTCCCGACTGCCAAAGCTCACAAACTGTTAAACCTAATTCTCATGACACGTGTCACCACCGCGGCAACCTGCACAGAGTCCCACATCGGAAATCTACACCAACCTCCCACTTTCACTTCCCTATAAAAAGGGAACAGTACCCTAGTAAGAGGGGTAACTACTTTCCTGCCTTTTACTGTTACTCTGCAAAAGTTACCCTTCTTAGCTGACTTAAGCATCGGAGAGCCTTCGGCCGGCACCACACCGGTGCCCCGCGCTTGACGCCTGCTTCCCCTATTTTTGTCTTCTGCAGGCTAGCCTTTATTGAAGGCCCAGACCCTTTCCCTGCTGAAGGCAAATCCCTTTTTCTCTAAGTTGACCCTCTCCGAAAAAGAGCATCAACACATGTAATAGACAGCATAAATCTCCTTACTAAATAACTAAAGATTAGACTTTGGAAGAGAAGCTTACACATTTTCTTTCGTCCAAGTAGGCACGGGTCCAGTCAGCAAGTTTCCAGTTAAGAATCTAAACATAATTGGTACAGGAAAAACGGCATAAATTACTAGAAAGGGGTATAAATAAAAGCAATGAATTACTAGAATGCCAGAATGGTAAGCATGATTAACACGTCCAGCTTGTAGGGCTGGGGTGCGACAAAACCATTGAAGAATGTCTGCTTGAGTTTTCTTGTGAGAAAGTCAAATTTGTTATTCGAATTGCTTACATATAATCCACGTCTGCTAGAGCATCAAAGTTGCTTGGAATATCCCCAGTTAGCTTGTTAAAGCTGAGGTCTCTGCACAAATCAATAACAAATACATTTCAGATATGCTACCCCAGAGGAAACCCTTATTTAAATTAACAATAATAATAAAATCACTCCAGGATCTGCTTTTGTGTATGCCTACATGTGTGATTACGCTGATTACTTAAAAATAGGGCATGTTCTCCTTGTACATACAGAAACATACGGCCCACTCCAACATCCTCAAAGTCATTCAATAATCCTTGAGTTATTAGAATAGTATTTAGAAAGAAGATAATTTATATGAAGACAGTAAAAAACACAGGGACAAAGACATTTGTACTAACAAAGTTTTCAACTTCGTCAGGTCCCGGAGATATGTAGGTAGCTGTCCACTAATATTGCAACTCCTCAACATCCTGTAACAGAAGCACTCAAATTTTGAGTTTGCAAAAGACTTCAGGTACAGACAGAAATTGTGATTCATGGAAGCATTAACTCACAGTGTACTCATGCCTTTCATATTCTCAAGTGGAGGAAAGTGTGCTTCAGGCCCACTCAAGTCAGTAATTCTCCTGCATGTCAAAATTGAGCAATGAACATAGATTACAGAATTGCTAATCTGTTTGTATTTATAAGTAGATACAAAATCAAAATCCATACTAACAAGTCAGTTAATTTTGTCAAAAGAGAAATGTTGGAAGGAATTGGCCCCGTCAAACCACTAGCCTGAATCACTCTGTTTTAACAAGTCATAACATTTGAATTAGTGATAATATTCAGAATCAAGTAGCAGCAAAGATAACAACAACAACAACAACAACAATAAAAACTCACAGTTTGTTAAGATTTGTCCAGTTCTTTATAAAATCAGGTATCTGCCCAGAAAAGTGACAGTCACCCACCCGGCTGCATAATGATTGGCAAAAGGAAAACAGTACCAATTAATCCTATAATGCGATATTTGGGTGCTTAGGAAACCTTTAAGAAAAAAGAACGACAGAAGCTTACAAGTCTTGTAGTGTGGTAAGATTTCCAAATGTATCTGGCAACTCCCCAGTAAAATTATTTGAGGTAAGAAGCCTAACCATGAAGGAGACATAACAATTATATTAAAGATAAAGAAGTCGATGATTTCTGATGAAAATATCCAGCATCTGTCTACAGCAAAGCGATTCCATATAATAAACCAAATATTCTTTTATTACGATAACATTCAGAATAGGACAATCTTACATTCTTTCTATGAGGGGCAAATTCCCAAGCTGCCAAGGGAGCACTCCAGAGAAATTATTCATAGTGATGTCCCTACACAAAGCAAATTCAATTCCATTGAGTTAAAAAAGATCATCATTAAGGATCTCCAAAAAATCAAGTTGGGGAAAGAAGAAACAAATGCGTAATCAACACTCACAAACTCTTCAGGGTGGTGATGTCTCCAAGCTCCTTGGGGATAGGACCGGTCAAACGGTTTCCAAGAAGGGAACTGCAACAAAACTCATATCTTTAAGATCACTTTTATCAAATAAATTCAACATTTACGATTCAAATGGCTCATGACTACTAAAAGGCCATGAATATGAAATGGCTGAAGAACACTGAAGTCAGCACTAAAACAACAAGAACATCACACACACACATGTATAGATAGCAAAAAAGACCGTACATGTTGACAAGTGGAAGGGAGCCCCATTCTGGAGGAATGGTACCACTCAGGTAGTTGCGGGTGAGGTCGCTGCAGGAGAAAGAAAGAAACGAGTCATTTTCTCATTGACAACAGACATACATGTAAGGTAACAACGTGCTTACATTTCTTCGAGATAGGTGAGCCTGGCCATCTCTTTTGGGAGTGTTCCTTGCAAATCCTGAGCTTTCATAACTCTGTTCTTCATTACAAAACAAGGTTTCAAATCTTAATTGCAATTTAACAAAGACCTGACTATGACTAAAAGGAAATGCTTCCACACAGATGAGACCAAAACAGTTAATTATTTAGAGGGCAAAGACTGGACTTCAACTCAGGCAATGTCCTTAAAAAGAATAAAACTTGCAATTTTTTGGTCACGAAGAATAAAACTTGCAATTACACAAACAGTTAATGTGCATTTGTTCTGTAGTGATAATAAGCAAGCCAACCATAGAACTGAACATCAATGCTAACTAAGAGCCAGCTCAAAGCACATTGTACGTAAGTGAGCAAATTGATCACTCACAGCCCATAAAACTCAATTTTGCAGTTAAAACTTAAACTTAGTTGATTGTAAAATTCTTACTTGAGTGTTCACTCAATAGTCAATATAAGAAATAGATTTATAATAAAATCACTTTTGCTCTGCACACTGCACAGCAAGTGTGTCTGCCCTCTAAATATTCCTTTCTGCATTTTCTTGAATTTCATCAAATAGAATTAAAATGTGAAAGAAAACCATTCAAGGCACCAAGGGTACTTCCACTCATGACCCATGACCCAACTTGGTAATTAGTGACACTGTTTAAGAAGGCCTGAACCCATTCTTGTGTACTGCTCTATACAATACGGCCTTGGGATGATTATTCCTGAAAAATACTATTGCTAACGGAATCTAGTCCAATTAAAAAGTACTTTAATTTGCAAACTAGTTATCTCAAGTTTGAATATCCATAAGCATTACACATTAATAATGTGTGCGTGAGAAATCCTACAAAAATTGAACGTGGCAACAGCCAATTCCAAGTGGGGCTGACAGTCCCCTTTTTTTTTTTCTTTTTTTTTTTCTTGAAAAGCCGACAGTCCCTTTTAATTCCCAATTATTTTGGAGGTGGCATGATGATATTTTAAGTCAATTGGGGGGCCAATGTGAAAATGATCAATAATTAATTGATATAGACGTGCATTCCCCAGAGAACCAAATGTCCAAATCAGCATCTCTCTCTCTCTCTCTCTCTCTACAAACTTACAGCTGAACTAATGGTCATGGGTCAATCAATCAAAGAAGGTTCATGCACTGATTCTTCTTTCACTTTCAGTTTCAGACGTTAAATTCTGGGATGATATCACCGACTAGTCTAATACTCCTAACAGTATCAACATCAAAATTAACATAAGCATATGTAAATAACCTATACCCTAACACAACTCATGTCACTTAATTTAAGAGGAGCTTTTAAGAGCGTATACTCTCACAGGGATAGAATTAGTGTGGAGTTAGGTGGAACTAGGGCCATCTCCAACCATATTGGGGCTAAACTCAAATTTTCACTTTCCAAAATATAACTATTCATGTATTTTCAGGACTCAAATTTTTTTTTCCTCCAACCTTGCAGACTCATAATTTGAGTCCGCAACTTTATTAAATTATTTAAGAATGATTAACTCCTAAATTTTTTTAGACATTATTTTTATTTCAACACTCATGATTTAATTTTCTAAACATTTTAACCTAAAAAAATTAAAATTCCAAAACATAATAGAATTTCACTTTTTTTTAAAAAAAAAAACCAGCAAATCAGATTTGTTTTGAAAATATAGCCATTGCCCAACAATATTGAAATGTGCGCCAGCTTTATTTGCATGCCCAAACAAAAATGTCAACGGGCCCACAAAAAATAAAAACAGAAATGCTTTGTGGTTAGCACATAGGCTTCCAGCTAAGAAAAAAAGAATAAAAAACATATTTTGGGCCCACAAAAAATATGTGTCCAGACAATATTGGGACTGGAATTTCACCCCAAATTTGAAATTTCTCAAATTTCCACCCCCCAAAATACATGGGTTGGAGAAGTTTTTTGGACTCAAAACTCAAAATTTGAGTTTCCACCCATTGGGTTGGAAATGGTCTAGGAACTAATAGATCGATAGTGTTGAGGAAATATCATCGATATTATCGTTTTTTCAGGTCTGATATTTTGGAACATACAGTATAATTATTATCAGAAAATATCGATGTCAATAATTTTTCACACGCTTCAACAATATTTGGCCAAAATATCGCGATGATATCACAATAATATTGATAATATCAATCATATCGAGATGATGAAGACAGTGAAAAATTATAACCTCATAAAAACTTTATGTGGTACTAAGTCACTCATGTCTCTTACCAAGCAATGTATAAAGTGTAAAATATTGTATAGTAAATCATTATAAATAAATGATTATGATGTGTTTAATATTCTTTCATTAATTACTACAAATTTTCTACACTAGTCCCAGTGTTTGTCAGCTCGCTATATAATCAACTTAAATCAATTAAACCCATCATGCATGCATTTCCTTCCTTTTTTTTGTGAGGAACTAATACATAATTGACCAAATAAACATCCTCCAAAGTTTCAATAAAAATCTCAAAGTTTTTCTTACAATTTCCATTGTTTTTATTCAATTTTTACCAATATTGACAATTTTCTGATATTTCTATCAAAATTGCCATGTTTTCATACCACTGATATTTCCGAAACCATTGATATTTTAGACTTTGGGTGGAACTAAAATCGGAGGATATCCTTATTTCTGTGAGGGTTGACGAACAATCCACTAGATCTGGCAGGCAGTCATAAGAATTTCTCCTAATTTAAAACTTGCATAACATTAGAGGCTCTCCTACCGAAAGTTAGAAAATCTATTAGAACCAAAAGAAAATGTTGGATTCCATGTATATAACACAAAAATGGAAGGACTTTAAAGTTTGAGACTTCAAATATATGGACAAGAGTAAGCAAATGCTGGGACTATCCTCTTCACCGACAACACGAGAGACTCATTTAAAGTCATCAAAATTAGGCCACCGTGAGTATATACTAGTATTATACAAATAGCAATTTTCTTGGTATATATATATATATATATATATATATATATATATATATCGGGATAATTCTGAAAGGAAAAAATATATATAATATACATAATACATATATATCGCCAATGATCTAATATTCCCCAAAAAAGTTTTGTTTAGAGGTGACACCGTCCATGTAAACCACATAAACCCGATAAGATCATTTGGTGTTAAGTGGTGTTAGGAGAGAGAGAGAGAGAGAGAGAGAGAGAGAGAAGTTTACATGCTGGTAATATGGCAGACAGTGGGATTGGCAATGGAACAACTACAGTTGACGTTATACTCAAATCCTTTGACCGGATGGGTATCAGTCCATGGTTTTTGATTGTTGCATGGATCTGCATCTCCACTGAAATTCCAGTTCGGCTTCCCCAGTGTCTTTGCCATGTCAGCTAAAGTTTGTACTACATATATATATAAAACAAAGTGCAACAATAATTTAACACCATATGCTCAATACTCAATATCTACACATTCATATAATTGCTACCATTCATACAATTACTACAATTACTGAAAGCTTGTACCTACGTTTACATAATTATAAGATGAAGAAAGGAGATTAAGGAAGAAATTTGACATAGATATATTAAGATTATATATATACACACACATACGTATACCTTCATCTGGTGGCAATCGAGTAGCTCCAAAAGTAAAATTTGCAAAGCAAACCACCAAGAGAGAATGAAGAAAAAGTCGAGGGAAGAACATATTCATCAATTAATTTTCTATTGGAAACCTTTCCACATTTGAAGAGGAAAACAGTGCCCAAAATGAGAGCTTTTAAATGAAGAGGTACCGTACGATTGTGTGTGTATGAAAGATGGATTTGTGAGGAGAGTATTGGTGCATACAGCAGCTTTTTATAGACAGAGAGAGATCGAGTAGACCTTCAAGGACTGAAACTGAAGTCAACTACTTAAAAAAAATTATTATTCTCACCCACTCAATTTATGGTCTAATCTCTTTTTTTTTTTTAAATTTACGTCTAAATAAAATTACTTTATAGAGAATGAACTAGGAATCGCCATTCAAGATTTTTCTCAAGCAATAAAAGCCGCACATGAAATTAATTAAGTGCATTGTTTTTTTCTTTGTCATAATTGACTTTGTTGAAATGTGTTGTGGTGGGGAACACAAGTCTCAATATTGCATTAAATTTTCTCCAACGTAGGGAAGGAAAAATCCAAGTCATCCAACGGAATAATCCAAATTACACCAGCAATTAATTATTTTAATTCCAAAATCTGCATCCAAACATGTACATCGAAAAGCTATTTTGACTAAAACACGTAATCACCCGAATAAAGGTTTCCAAAAATATAATAATCTATACAGAAAAGTTCCATAACATTCCCTTTCTCAGTTTTCCACTATTTACATCTTTTGGATGGACACTCCAACTTCCCAATGAACCAGTCAATGCATTGAAGCTGTATTATTAATTGACCAAACAAGCTTCAGTCCAAAAGATGAAAGAGCCACTTGTAAAGAGCCAGCCATGTGAAATTGACCAAACAAGCTTCAGTCCAAAAGATGAAAGGTGCTGCTGCTGACTGAGTCTTTAGAGCGACATTAAATTAATATTCCAATTCTATTCTATCAATATCAATATTGGATGACTTGTCCTTTGTTTGTAACGTATTCTTCACTCTAATCTTTATTTCCTTATCTGTACTGTAATTCATTTTTGTTTTGTCAAAAAATTTCCGGCTCCACTTGCATGATTTAGTAAGTAAAAATCTATTGTGTGACGTTAGAATTTGAAGTACAAGCTTTACCCATATTTATGTTTAATAGGGCAAATTGGAAAATCCAGATGTTTTTTTTCCAGCTTTTGATTCTGCAATTCAATTTCTATTTAGTAAAAAAAAAAATATGTGTAATTTATAAATCCAGTTGATACTTGGCATACATGCACTTTCCATAGCATGCTTACCCATCAGTTGTTGACCATTCCTATTTTGGATTAATTTTGCTTATAAGGATTGATGTGTTTAGATTTCTTACCACAATTGCAGTAAGATTTGAATGTTGTTTAAGAGAAAATATGAGTGATATGTGTTATAAAAATGGTTAAGAACTATCTTTTTACTGTCACTTGAGAAAGATATAAATATAATTATTGTATGTTTACTTATCAGGAATGGGTAAGTCATGAGTCGAAAAACTTAGATGAGGACTCAAAGAATTGGAATTGGATCAACTACTCCCTTAGTCGAATCTCATTCCTAATTTTGAGAGTATTTGATTACGGATTTTAACGTGGAACTCACATAATTTTTGGTTCCCTATGTGTTAAAGTCATGAATAGGAATCATTCCAATTGTCATGTGTTGGTAAACACATAAAGCAAAAATCGTTTCAATACCCACATGTTAGTAAACACCATAGTCTAAAATATTGATAATATCGAGGATATTATCGTTTTTACAGGACAATGATATTTTGGAACGTATCCATACACATATCGTATAAATATCGATAATATCGGAAAATATCGATGTCGATAATTTCTCTCACACTTTAGCAATATTTGTCCATTTCCTCGTCTAAGAAACCTTTAAACGAAAAAAATTGAGGTGGAATATCTGATAATTTTAATTATATTTTGAATGAAGAAATGGACTTATCAAAAGTTTGTAAATTTTAAATTAGAGCAAATCAGAACTTATCAAAAGTTTTATATAACATGAATGAATTTTCCTGGTTGGTCATGCAGGCACTTACAAAGCATTTGATGATTTTAATGTGCCCGGAAACAACTTGTTTACTGTATTTATTAGAAATCATTAAGTACAGTCTATCTACTATGTAATTGTGGAAGTAGCACCCATCATACAATGGTTTTACAGTTTTTGTCATGTCTTTTGGGAGCTATATTTTATTTCCTCTATTGCTATGTTCGAATTGTTAGTTTTTGTGCAGCTACTGTTTTTAGCTTTCTGTGACAAACTTGTAATCTCATATGCAATTAATCAAGCTCAAGAAATTTAGGCTAATTTCAGTCTACAGTCAAAATGATTACAGAAATTGAGATCAAACATGGCTCAAATGAAATCAAGATTGGTAAAAATCGTATATTGTATTCTCACGTGAGTCCAGCCTTTGCCAGCTATAAACTTTCTGTTCTAATGTTCTTTGTCTCATTGTGAAGCCAATTTTTGGCTGCCAGCAGGGCAGACTTCTTTTTGGATAAAAAAGGAGGCTACGACATTGAGAGAAAATTTGACAGCTTCTTCCTCTGCATTTTCTTCTTATGAGAGGTCTGCATTTTGCATTGTGAGATTTTGACAATTGGTTTTTAAAATCTACTTTGATCTTTAAAATCTGTTTTGAGTTGTTGAATGCGCATTTTCTCTTGGAATTTAGATTTCTGAAGTTACAGAAAAAAAGGCTACTGTCCACTTGGGGTCGTTGGATTGGAGCATTGGAAGATGACTTGTTCTTATCTCCTGTATCTGTCCAAGCCGAATCAGCTAGTTCATGCCTTCCAACACTCATATTGATATTGCATGACAAGTTCAAAACCACATTGTTGTTTTGTAGCAGAATGCTGATTTCCACCATTCTCTTTCAAATAGAAACAGTAACAAAGCTTAGCTTCCAAGTAATTTATTCAGTTTTCCTGACTCTAAGCCTCTGCCCTGCTTTGACCAAATAAAAAAAAAAGCCTCTGCCCTGTATATCAAATTATGCCATCATAATGCAATCTTCTCAGAAGATATAATATACCAGCTTCTGTGCTGTAGCAAAGTTGATCCAAGGGATTCATAATTTACATTTACCAATTTACCATGCTGTAGAAACATCTATATTATTCTTTCAGCTAAAAAATATATATGCGTGTGTATATAGAGAGGGAGTAGAGATGATATTATTCTTCCACCGGATGCTGGGGGTACAAAGTCTGCCGGAAGAAGACTAGGTTTATTAGAGCATTGGCAGCAAAGGGCCCAGGGGGAGGGTTGTTGGGGGGGGGAACCCAAAAACTGGTTTCCAGCAACAAGAAGCTGTCAAGGCAAACAGTGGGGCCCACAAACCTGGGCAAGCCCGAGGGGGAGGCTGGCCCGAGCTCCAGCCCGCGGGCTGTGATGATGTCAGCGCTGCTGTTTAAATTTTTTTAAAGCTGGCGCGTGCAATACACGCGCCCGGTTTAAAAAAAATTTGACGCGCGCTACAGTAGCCGCCCAACGGCATGATTCCACGTGTCGCATGCTGAGCCATCCGATCTGCTTTTTAAACTTATCCAACCGCAGCCATTTTTTCGCGAATAAAAAAATCGAAAAAGTAACCCTCAAGGCAAACAGTGGGGCCCACAAACCTGGGCAAGCCCGAGGGGGAGGCTGGCCCGAGCTCCAGCCCGCGGGCTGTGATGATGTCAGCGCTGCTGTTTAAATTTTTTTAAAGCTGGCGCGTGCAATACACGCGCCCGGTTTAAAAAAAATTTGACGCGCGCTACAGTAGCCGCCCAACGGCATGATTCCACGTGTCGCATGCTGAGCCATCCGATCTGCTTTTTAAACTTATCCAACCGCAGCCATTTTTTCGCGAATAAAAAAATCGAAAAAGTAACCCCCAACGGCTCTATGCCACGTGGAAGCTCCTGGGCTCTCCGATTAGTTTTTTCCAGCAATCCAACGGCAGACAATTTTTTGCCCAAAAAAAAATAGAAAAAAAATGGGAAAAAATTTTAAAAAATACGAAAAAAATACTGAATTTTTTTTCTATAAATACCAACCAATACTCTTCACTTTTAACACCAACTCTTCATACATTTTTTTCTCATTCTACTATTTTTCACTTTCTAGTCAAATTTTTTTCACTTTCAAGTTGTTTTTTTTTTCTCTCTTTCAAGTTGTTTTTTTCTCTATCATATTATGGGTTATTCTAGTGAAACCGGAGGAGGGGCATGGAGCATGCATGACGGAAGATATTAGCTTGTGTGAGGCTTGGCTCCAAGTTAGTCATTGTCCCGTAACGGGCAATGAGATCAAATTCTGTCATATGTGGAAAAAAATTCATCAGGAATTTTGTGAAAGGATAATTGGTTCGACCCGTACTGATCAAGCATTATCTAGTAGGTGGAAAATTCTTAATAAAGAGTTGGGAAAGTGGAGAGATGCCTTGACAAAAGCGATGAACAACCATAGAAGCGGGCAAAACCTTAGCAGTGAGGTAAATTATTTGTAATTTTTTT